GAGAGAGGGGGGAGGGGGATGCGCGCATCTTTGCAACTACGTAGATGCGTGCAATTTTTCCACTCGTACGTGATTAAAATCTAAATGTAGTTTCGTCTCAAAGACTGCTCCCGAACTCACTCGATCTTCGGCGGTCGATGTGCTTTATGTACGTCTCCGAGTATATGCTCTTAGTGCGATCATCGTACCTGAAAGCAAAATTAAAGATCAAGAGCTTTGTCTTCACTGTAACGTTGGAATAAATGGATTTGTCTGTAGAACGCTCGCCTTTGTACGCACGTTAATTATGAGACGTCAAGAAAATTTAGATCAGCGCTTGATTTTTCAAAAGTATTTTTTTTTTTTTTTTTTGTCAAGTAAGACGAAAAGAATCGACCTTTCGCCGTATTCACCCTCTTTGGTTTCTCCGCGACTACTCTCTATTTTTCAAATTCAAAATTCCGATAAGAAGGATTTGCTGCGATGGCATTCCAACCAGCCGAACAACTGCGACAAGACATTCCCGAAGCAATTTCAACAAGCAGATTTCTAAGAAATCTTACCGCACATTCGCGCCCAATGCTGTATCGATGCCGAAGGGACACACTTTAAATAAAATGAATTTTCGAATTGATACAGCATGAATTCCGTAATTTTTCAAACATACTGTGTCTAGTCCTGAATTGAATGATCGTCGCGCATCATCGCGGATATAGCTCGTGCGAGATACGCAGTATACGTAATTGAACAGAATAATGGAGTAATTGGCGCAGGAAATGAAAATAGAGATACATGACGCCATACGTCCACGTGAATTAAATTAGGTTTAATTTATGAGTTTAATGATCGTTTCTCAGAATCGTGAACGTTGTTGCAACATTGAAAATATATACGAACTTTGCAATAATTGCCTTGCGATACTCGCTGTTTCATTATTTAGAATGTATCTCATTATTTTATTATTTAGAATGTGACTGCTCATCGTTAACTGTAATTAAGTTTCGTGCAACAATCGAATGAGCATATGAAATATAATAAAATCGATATGACGCTAATAAAGTACTATTAAGTTTGTGGATGCAAAATCAAGTGTCTATTAGAATGTCGAAAAAATCAATGAAAAATATGATAAAAACGATATAGAAAAAGTATGAAGTAACAAAGTAAATATCGATTCAAAAGTAATATGTATGTATTAAAAATTTTTTTAATATAAATAATTTAAGCTGATGGAATAAGAAAATAAAATAACATCCATTTATAAAAAAAAATAGAATTTATAGATAGAAGAGTTTTTAAACAAAATTGCAAAAATAATATTTTTTTATTATTTCGAATTTCTGATGTGTACAACACGCACTTTTTGAGACTTGATTCGAATATGTGTTGAAGTAATATTTTTATCGATTATGAGTAACAGTAGTTAAATCAATTGCCGACACATCAAAAACAGCGTTTCTTTTGCGAATACTAAACATAACAATACAAGCAATAAACCTTCAAAAGAAAAAAACAATGAAACAAAATGCATACCTTAATATGTCAGACCAGATCGTACCTGAGGGATGGCCGACGGAAGTCTAGCGCTTCGAGATCCGACGGCTCTCGTCTACAGAGCGAGCAGAAGGCGCATTGCAGAGTATTTTTAAACGCCTCTCGAAAGTCACGATTAAAATACGCGTAGATCAATGGATTCAATGCTGAATTCGTATATCCAATCCAGAAGAGAATTGCAATCACGATGTGCGGGCTTGGACAGCTGTGCTCACCGCACAGCGCCGTAATGACGTACCTGACGATCACACAGAACTGAGAGTTAATTATTTATTTAAACAACGAACGCAGGAAAGAGACAAAAGGGAATGGAGGAAAAAGAAATATTTAAGAGAAATAAAAAAGTTTTAAGAAAATGGAGGAAGGAAAAGGGAAGACAGGAGGAGAAATGGAACAAATCAATCAAAAGAAATGGAACGATCAATTTTGAAAAATCGCTCCAGGAACGCTCCAGGCTTCAACCAGCTGTAGGAGGAAGGTGTAAAATTATTAATAAATGTAACACACCTACCAAAGAAAAAATGGCAGCCAGCAGAGAATGAAGGTACCCATAATGATACTCAGCGTCCTCGCCGCCTTGTGCTCTCTCTTCATCTTCATCATGTTCTTATCTTTCGTGGGTGTATGCAGATATCGCTCGGTGTTGATGTCGTTCAAAGTTAACGTCTTGGAAGACCCGTCGTTGTTCAGCTCACCGTTTAAATTATTCAGATCCTTGCTTGGTCTGTGACTGAGCAGCATGGCATTACCCATTCTACTGTGCATTTGTTCCTCCTGCCTGTTAGCTTCCTTAAATATCGCGAGGTACGTAACTGTCATGATAGTGCACGGTATCCAGAAAGATATACTCGATGATAGTATGGCATATATCGTGTTGACTTTGAACTCGCACAGCTCCGGGTGCGTGTGCCTGTACACGCTGTTCTCTTCCGTAGTGTACCAGCCGCAGAAAATTGGCACAAAGGAGATGATGGCCGGCGCCAGCCAGCAGGCGAGCAGCATGTACGCCACGACTCTCTTCGTCATGTTGATGGGATATTTGAGCGGCTTCACGATCGCGTAGTAACGATCCACCGAAATGCACATCAGATGGAGGATCGAGCTGGTGCTGAAGTAGACGTCCAGGGAGTTCCAGACGTCGCACATGAAGTAGCCGAAGAGCCACCTGCCGGTCACCTGCACGCTGGCGTTAAAAGTCATCGCGAACATCGCCACCAGCATATCGGCCAGCGCCAGCGAGACGACAAAGTAGTTTGTGATGATCCGCAGCTTCCTGTGCCGCATGACCGACACCATCACCAGGAGATTGCCAAATAGAGCTGTGGCGATGATCGAACCGAGAATGCAGACTTTTACGATGGCCAACGGCATGTCCGGCCAATCAACTTCCGTGGCATTTATTTCGGTTATGTTGCTGTAAGGATTTTCCTCAGTCGTGACGACGTCCAGCAGCGTCATGTCGAACGGGGGAATTTCTCCCGGGTCAAACGTCGTCTTTGTGGTCATCCTTGCTCAATAGCGATTTCTATCGAGGTCAACCGTTTATTGATCCTCTTTTTAATAAAAAAGAGGAGTTCTAAGGAGGCGACTCTTTAAGTAACGGAAGTCCCAATCAGTCGATGTGCTAGATAGGCCTTCATCTTTGATCTGAGAGAGAAGACGTCACTTTTTTTTTATGCAGTTTTTATGCAGTCTTTTTGGATCTCTCTTGTCAACGAGCGTTATAAAGTAATTAGCGTTATGAAGTTTATGAAGCTAAAAGACTCGGTAGAAACGACTCGTAAAGGAGCTTCGGCTTGTTTCTGATTCATTTTAATGCTACCATGCTATTAATGCCACCACGCATTCTCGTAGATCTGTAAATGAGAAAAGCAAAACATTTTTAAAATCAAGAAATTTATTTTTATTACGCTAATGTAACGCAAGTGAATAAATGAGCATTATAAAGATTTCATATGTTACATAAAGCATTTTTTTTCGTGAATATAAATATAAAATATTTAATTTATGTAAAATGTAATAACGTTCGAAGTTGCATGGCGATAATAAGCATTTCATTATAAAACATGTTTCATTACGTTCAATGATGTGCAGTATAGAATTTTGAAATATTTTCAATAAGTTTTTGCAATAAATTATATTAGCACAAAATTAACAAATTGCCGTATTTATGTCAGATTTAATTACAGCGTGTAAAATCCTTATTCACACACACATTAAATTAATAATTTAATTAATAAAGAAGACAAGACAGATGTTAATGTATAATATTCGATGTATTTATTTCAAAATTGTATTCTTTTATATATCTAATATCTAATATATATAGAATAGATCGATATAAATTGGTCACCTTGTATGTACAGGGTGTTCAATTTCATCTATCCATGCCAATATATCGGAAACGAGAGAGACTCAATCGAAAAATGAAAAGAACTTTTTCAATAGAATTATTTGGAAATGATTTTAGCGTGATGAAATCGTATCCTCTTCTATTAAGTTTTTGAGAAGAGAGGGAAGAGTAAAATTTTTCAAATGGAAACTCTGATAAGAAGAACATCAATCCACAAGTTTTGAAGAGACAAATTCAACGACCTATGATTATACGATTTCAACTTCAAAATTACGATAGCAATTAATTTTTAAAGATCGCGTTTCTACTTTATTAATATCAGCTGATAGATTTTTTAAACCCCATTTTATAGATGCGATCTCATAATCAAGTACAGATAACATGTCAACAATCATTTGTCACTGTGCAACAACCACTCCAGCATAAATTATAAGTTTCGATGATGTTTGCATATCCAGATGCGCTTAAGTGACAAACGCAGCTTTTTTAAAATAAAAAAAAATTAACTCTTATATGCGTGAACAACTTCTAAAAATTTTAATGTGTTTTAATATTGTACTTTATTTCTGCGATGATGCAGAAAATGGTCAAATATGCGACCGAAACGTTTATTTGTAAATTAAATTCATTTATAAATGTTAAATTGTAAATATAAGAAAGATTGATTCATAACAACTTGTCACAGCTATTGAGCCACTTTATGTTATTCAATTTTATAATTGTTAGAGCTTTTTACGGTTTTTAAAAAACTTTTAATTTTATAAGATTAATTTTACAATTGTGAACTATTAATATCGCACGAATGATAAATGAACGTATTAAACGAACTGGAATGCAACAGACGATTCATATGAGCGTGCGACCTTTCGGCATATAGATGTTTCGATCGTTGGTGTTCCTTCGAGGTTTACATATCAGCTAGTATGGCAGTTTTCCATTCGTTCCTACTCAAAATGAGGACACAACGGAAGAGAGCTCGCAACCTTCAATGGAATGTCCTCTTCTCTCTCTGTGCCATCTCTCTCACTGTTTCTCTATCTCTTGACTCTGTAGTCTTTCTGTCTCTTCCTGCGACATAGTGGTCGTGTGGCGACAGTGTCGTGTCAAGTGCACTCTCGTCGAGTATGTGTAATTTATGATTCGCTATTTTTGCGGTACATTTGGGTCAATTATTCCGAGGATACCGTAGGCCGGCCTGCGAAGCAGGCCGTGAAGAAGACAACCAGGCTGCAAAAGCTCGAAGATGTCATTTTTATTTTTTCATGAGTGTGCCAAAATCAATATCAAGACACATTGAAAAGAATTGCGTCATATTGAAAATAAAGATACGAGCCGCCAACTAATTTACGAAGGAAAATTGGGATTCCAGTAAAAGTAATGCGAGTATTTTATTAATGTTTCTAATAAAAACTGTATTTCAATTTTATCCTAATTACCAACATTTTTTTTTGTGAAAAGAAATCTCTCTCTCTTTTTATACGACGTTATTTATGCTCATTTCGTTCTTATTAGACTTCTCGCATTAAGCGATGCATACGCCGTGCAAATCACGGTAAATATTTGTCATTTAAGTGTTAAATATTTCATTATATTATTTGAATATTTTATATAAATGTTTACAGTTCATGATGACTAACTAACTTGAGTTTGTATTGTAACGCATTTATTACGCTTTTTCCATTTCTCAAAATATGCGCTTTAATATGCGCTTAATTAGCGTGATAGTATTACTCAAGCCCACGAGAAAAAGTTAATGAATATTTTTGCATTTGGCAAGAAAGCCATTAAAAAATACATAATCTGCAATAAAATAATATAAATATTCGTGCAATCTATTAAATATTGAGTTCTGGCGTTACATTAAATGAGAGTATAGAAATAATTCACATACTTTATTTCTCAAAATTGGTGATAATATTAAAAAAGTTCTTATACAGATTTAAATCAAATGACTACATATTTCGCTTTTAAAGCTAAATAATAGAAAAATATATTTGCTCAACATAGTTTTATTCAGAAATGGTAAATAGTAACAATGGTAAACAGTGTATGAAGAGCGCGCGCGCTGAAAATAAAAGTAGAAATTATTCTAGTTTCTTTATTTTTTTAATGTGCATTGTATAAGTAATATTATTGCAAAAATAAAAATAAGATTGTTATTGCATACATTTGCATACAATCATCAAATTAAAATCAAAAGAAATTGCGCCATAATTTTCCGGCAATGGAAAAACTCTACGTCGTATAACTTGCGTTTTTTCAGCACGATATACCGCTTTTCCCGTAAAATGGAACAGGAGAGACTTACGAATAAACAGTAAAAATTGTAGTTGGTTTTACGTGAAAACAAAATTAGATATGAAAATAAGACGAATGATGAACAAACTTACTGAAGTTTACGTGCGTAATATTCTACTTTAATGCATACTCGTGTAAATAGTACAAAAAGTTGTATAAGACCAAGCAAAAGTTTTATATTTATATAATTCGACTTATATGAGTTCGATAAAAAGAAAGTATTTTATTTTCAATAAGTGAAAAACTTGAATTACAGATATTCTTTTTTGCCTCTTCTTCTAAATTCCATTTTCGACACGATAAAGAACAGAGAAGTATACTGCAAGATAACAAATAAACGCAATAATTTTCACGACAGTAACAATTTCCACGAATTTTATCTACGCGATAAAGAAACTGCGTCGTCTTACATTGTTATCTTTTTCCTCCTTTTTTTAATTATATGATACAGGTGGATACAATCGCAGCATTGCAACGTGCTATAATTGCTTTATCAGAGCGTAAAAAAGTTGCTGTGTGTGTGGTAAATATTGATGCACCTGCTGTCCGAGCAAAATTATATCATTCGATGGTGCCTCATTATTTACACGAACAACATGAAACTTCTATTTTCCAGTGTCTTCGAGAAAATTTTGCATATGCGAAGAATATGTACCGAAAGGAAAGGATCGGAATGTATATGGAAGGATCAGAGTGCATATCTCATCCATATGCGAGTCACGTAACGATGCCGAGCATGTAAATCGCACGCAGTCATCTGCTGAATATAAGTAGAATTCTCAACCCTAAGACTGGCCAAGGGCAGACCTCGCGGAATTCAAAAGATCGATGATGAACCGGCCTCGTATCTCACTGTGTTCTGCACATCGTAATGAAAATTTCTCGCATTTCCGAGTACAGCGCACGCGTATAGTGACGTTAACGCAATTTCACAGTTGTGGAATGCATTAAATATGTCAGAATTAATAAACTGAGAAGTTGTAGTTTCACCGAAACGTTACTACAAAAATATCCGACATTTATTCGTTATAATTCGTCAGCGTATTTTTAAATGCTAGACGTGTACCTTGTGTGGAAAAAATGTTGCGAAAATGCGGTAAGAGTTATATAAAGTGGTTGGGACACTGGATTCTAGCTCGTATCATTTTTGAATAAATAAGAGAACTGTGTTGTAAAAAATTATATATTTATTAAACAATGAGCTATTACAATATTTATTATTAACAAGCGTTTTAATCTGTTTTAGGTTATCGTCAGTAATAAATAATTTGACAAAATATTGAACCAAGAAAGAACAGCGAATATATTGAACCGTCACATATAAGTAATATTGGGCTATCACCGTTTCTATCAAGACAGAAAGATTTTCCAACAACATGCTTTGTTTTCTTTCACTATATAATCATATGCCCGTCTGAGATTTTGCAAACTCTATATGGTCTTTCCGAACACTGCATTATTTATTAACTTGTAACAATTTTTCTGAAACTCGTTGCTCGTGCATGTTGGAAATCGTGTTTCGAGTTTGATGTATTCACGAAACTACGGATGTAATATTCGAATCTTGTGACACGCCGTTTAAATGCATTAATGTTAGTTATAATAGTGCACAATGTTGCGATGCTTATCGTACAGTATAGTGAATAGCTTATCCGTTTACCGGGTGGCTTATCACATGTCAGGCGAAACAGTAGGTCAACATGCGCGGTTGATCGGATACGCAAGGCCGTCTTTTAACACATAACCAATAGATAAATCGAAAATTACATTCAGTCAAAGTTTGCAACATCGTCGCGACCCATCGGAAATCTGCGTAAGGTAACGTAAGATTCACGTCGAAATACGGTCGACGGTTTCGATTATCATAATTATAAGCGTTTTTATCTTTTTTTTTTTGCATGCTACAGTACATGCCGGAGTCGAAATTTTTGTGCTACCTTCTGATACCCTTGTCTGATACGTTGTTAAGAATAGTTCCTGCCTATTTAGATAGGCAATAAACACTAATAAAAATCAACTCTATTTTCTAGTCAATTTTTTTTCTCCACTTTCGAGTTTTTCAATAAGTCGATGGTTACCAAGATATTTGGGGTAAAAGTTTAATTCCAATTATTTGTGCAAATTCTTATAAAAGAAACTTACATTTACAGAAGATATTTAAACTGATCGTTGATATCAGTGCAATACTGTAATATTCAATAATAC